CATTTGAATCCCATACTTTTGACTTGTAAATTGAATAGATAGTGTGACTTTGACTTGTAGATTTTTTTTTTTTCAAGTTTGACTTGTAGATAGATAGTGATATTCTCTATTTCTTTTTGTGTGATTTTGATAGTTTGGAATCAATCTTCTACAAGTAGCATGCATAGGCAGAAATTGTACCCAAAAAACATTAAACATATGCAGATACTTCATTATCAATTAGCTTACATATATATAGAGCGTCCTGTAATATTTGTAGGCTTCGTTCTTTAAGAAAAGTGGCCCACTACTTATTTGGCTTTATCTACATGATACAATGTGAATAAATCGAAATGCTTGTAATCTACACTGGTTAATCTTTAGTAGATGTTTAAGACCTAACCAAATAAACCAAAACATTGCATGATCTAAGCTTTTTATTACTAAAAAACATTACATTCATTTCCACTCATCTAATTAGCTAAGCAATAAGCATCATCACTTTTTTATTCTTTTTTGTTCCACATTCATTGTATCTCTTTTTGACTTTTTCCTATAACATTCATACAATGAAAACATCATTTACAAGCAACTCTCTCTCTCTCATTAAGGGAATTTATGACAAAGCTTTTAATCGATTCATCGTCGTCATTTGTAACGTGTGGATGTTATACAAGGAAAGAGGTGGCTTTGATTCTCAGTTATACAGAGAGAGTTATTTGAGTTTTGCTCATATCATCCTTGTCTCTGCAACATTCTACATTTATATGACACAGTCTGATGGATTTTACAATGCTTAAGACTCTAATAACCAAAACCAGTTATGTGGCACACCAAAAGGTCATATTATAAATCCCTCCCCTAAACAAAATACAATTTGTGATTCCCATACAACTTCTGAAATCTCCTTCTCTCATCAATTCACATCCCACACCACCTGCATCTACTAAACTTTTTTCTTAGCCAGCAGTCCAATTTGCTACGACTCCATCATCATCTGGGTGAAAATACGCATCCCATTACAACTTCAATTCAAGAAACACACGAATCTATAGAGCAGAAGAAAAAGTTGTGAACCTGAGGAGAGAGTTAACAAGGGCCCTATCAAATATTACCGCTTTCTCCATCTGACATCTCTTCAAGCTTTGCGATTGCGTCCACGAGAGCTTGTTCATGATCCTGCCATTTCCAAGTAAACTATAAGTCAGCAACGAACAAAGAGAATGCCCGAGTAAAAGACCAGATGATGAATATGGCTCTTACTCTCAGCACTCTTTTGGCTTTCTCTACTTCTGCTGGGTTGGGGTTAACTGACCCAAAAACTTTTTCTACCTGTTACAAAAATATTCACAAAGTAAATACTCATATAACATTGTGAACATTCCAATAACTAGAACTTGGATGATTACCTCTTTTATTAGTGTATCCGTGTGGAGTATTTCAATGTCGCCTAAAGTTTTCTTCCCGATACCGTTCTGTGTCTTGGGCTGCTGCGTTTTCATGCCTCCCCTACCTCTACCACCGGCAGGACCACCACGAGCCATGGATTTCGTAGTTCCACGACCTTGCCCAGGATGTCCTCCTTTACGAGAAACCCCAGGATCCTCACCTTCCCATCTGATATCTCCCGGAGATATCTAATATAAAACGAATAGTGAGTCAGTTCTAAGCACAACTATGGTACTACCAGTTTTCATCCACCATTTTTATACATTTATCCTTAGCGTCTAAATTATTAATCGAATGAACCGATTCAGTATCATTCAGGATTGCGGCAGTGAACAAGTAAAACTAAGCTATTTCTTCAATGCGCAGAGCTGAAACGGATTGCAGTCGTATAAAATCTGACAAGTCTCTCATTAACGAGCAGGGGATACATAAAAAAGAAACATCCAGATCATCAACAAATAGAGTATGGTTGCTCCAAATTTTACAATGCACCATCATCTTGTGAAAGGTAAAAAGAACAAGTAGAAAAACTGAAATCATTATTACCTCTTTTAGATTTACCCATTCCCAAGTTTCATTTCCAGTGTTGATATCATACACTAACGCATGCCGCCCCTTAATAACAAAAGTAGAAAAAGTTATATCAGAATTCGGCGATTTGGGCATTACAATACACTAATTAATATCAATGAAAGATAAGATACCTCAACAGGGTTGTAGTCAGTTATAACAGCTTCATAGAAATGGTTGTCCTCAGGCCACTTTGTCCATACCTTCCTTCCAATCAATGGGTCATATGATCCCGATTCACCGGGTTCATTCGTTAAAGTGCCAGCCTGGGGCCTTCCAGCAATGCCTGTAGCTTGGTACTGCATCGACTTCACCAAGCGAAAATAATAAAAATATTTTCATCCCTTACTCAATGAAGAATATAAGAACAATTAGAGAGTCACACAGCATTATGACTTACTGTCTTTGTCTTCTTGGTCTTTGGACCTGGTGGAGGACCTCCCCTTCTAAGTGCAGATGAAGACGGTTGCATCGAGGGGTGTAAAGCAGGAGATGGTGGGCCCATCGCTAACGAGGCGATTGATTGTGATGTCTTTTGTTTCTTACGTGATCCTGATACAGCTGGACTCGGAGCAGTCTCATGAACCATCTGGGGGACACTGGTCTGAAGGCTGTTCCCCTTTCTCCACTCTCTGACATGAATTATATGAACCTGGTTAGCTAGAAAGATGCTTTTGACTAATTGCAGGGATACAATAGTTATTGATCACATATAAAACAGACCTTATTCGCCTAATCATTTCGTCAGCATTAACCCTTGATAACAGCTCTCTGTGTTCTTCATCAGACACCCGAAGTTCTTTTCTTAGTTCAGTGATCAAACTTTCTTTCTCCTGAATATTTTTTTTTCCCCCCGACAAAGGAACAAGAAGAAGATAAGAAAGAAGGGTAGACTGATCTTACATGGTGAAGTTACATAAACATAGACTAAAAAATGAAGAAAACAAGCAAAACAAGTACCCAGGTAATAGCATCAGACTGGGCTTTAAATGCACGGAGTATTGAGCTATACGCTTCTTGCTCAATGAGATGAATTTGAGTTTCCATGTCATTGTGCACCCTTGATAAAGGAGCAGAATTTAGAACTGAAGGCCTGCCATTACCAGCAGGTCTGCCGCTCCTTTGATATCTACTCTGATGTGATGGAGGTAGGTCATCATCCGTACCTAAGTTCCCGCAGAAAAATACGTATCACAAAACTAAACCGCAGCATATACAATTATACAAACACAAAAACACTGTAAAACAATCAGTTTGAAGCTACGCAAATCAGCAGAAAATAATCAGTAAACAACAATGAACATGAGAAGGAATTCTTCTAACTGTGGACTGAACACAGAGAGAGAGTGAAGACACGAACTAACACCAAGCTGTTATGAAACTATGAAAGAACACAAGACTCACCACTACTATCAGAAGGTCGGTAATCCATTCGAGTCCTTTCGCGATTATTCTTCACAGACCTGTCTAGGTGCAACAAAGCACGAGCTGCAAAAACCAAGAAAACAACATCAATGGAGGAAAAAGCCATAACATTCACTCTTATACAGAACAAAAGAAACCTTCAATTTTCAGGTCAAAACCGAACATGAAGCGTTGACAAAACAAATCACACTATACAAAACGCAGTAACTCAAAGACAATCAAAGTCACAGTTCTATAAACTCAAGCTCAACAACCAAACATGATACTTTCCGCCGATTGAAGAATTTCACAACAGATACTCCAAGAATCAAGAAAACTCTGTTTTAACCAACCAAATTCAATAAAGAGAACGAATTTATGCTTAAATTCTAAAAAGTATCACCAATTAGAGAACTCCACCCTCGGAAACCCTAATTTCCGACGGACGGAAGCAAAGCACACCAACGCTTTAACTCAAGAAGAACAAAAACTTACAAATTGCGAAGAAAGAATGCAAGATCAAACAGCAATTACCTTCACCGTGACTATTGTCGGGATCTATTCTCGAAAACTTCAATCAGCCAAGACTTTCCATCGAGAACATTACTCCCGAAAGATCATAGATTTGAGCAAAAGAGGACCGTCAAAAACAGAAGATCCGAACAAATCTTGAACCCAAATTGAATTTCACGAAACGTTAGATCTCTCGGAAGCTGAAAGAACGCCGCGGAATTCAGAATTACTGGACAAAACCGTGATGGATTTTCCGAGGGTTCTATGCGTCGCGGACGTGAAACCACAATATTTTGTGCCCTAATTTTTTTTTTTTTTTCCAGTTGATAGGTTCGTTTGAGTTACACGAACGACGGCAACTTTTGTCGTTTCACAAACTCACTTCCTATCTCTTTTGAGAGTTCTGTCTTAAACCCGGTTTTATCATTTATTCGGTACGATCACAATTTGGTACGGTCACATACCAAATTACCAAAACGATTGGATCCGTATTGTTTTTTGTATTATGATTTGGTATTTTAACCGACATAATTTTGGGTTAAGCCGGTATGAATGGGACAAACCAAAGAAGGCGGTTCGGTCTAAAATTGAATTTTTTTACAAGTTCCCATAGAAAAATAAGAAAAGGGAAAAAGAAGGGAGAAATGTTGTTGCGTGTGTGTCCGTCGTCTTTCTTCAACCTCCGACCGCTTCATCTCTTCAGTTTCTCTCCTTCAACTGCGAAATTCCCTTTTTGTCCCTCTATTCGCCGAGAATTTCGATTAAGCCCTTCCCCCCGATCTTCTTCCTTCCGTCGGATGGAATCTATACCGG